AGGGAGGGATAGGGAGAAGGTGTTTTTAGGATTTTATTGTTCATTATCCTGCTCTGATTTGGTTAATAATAAATTCAGTTCCTARTTCCAGGCTGARTCTGTTTTGCCCATGACAGTGATCAGTAAGTGATCTCTCCTGGTCCTTAACTCCTGGGTCTTTCCTTATATTTTCCTTATTTCCATGTCCAGATGTAGAGAGCAGGGACAGAGTAGTTTKGGTGGCATCCAGCATCCAGCCGGGGTCAACCCACCACCAGATCCTACATGGTCCAGGACTGAAGGAAAAGCTTTGGAAGAAGCTCCAACATCATCAAGCACCAGTTGAACCACATGGGGAGACCCTATGAATGCCAAAACTATGGGAAGGGCTTCACTGCGAGCTGAAAGCTCCTGGAACACATGTAGAACTCCATATGGAGGAGGTCCYTACATGTTCTCAGGATGCAAGAAGAGGGAGGGCTCCACAGGGAGCCAAGGTCCCACCAGAACTACTACCTGAAGTAGAAGGTGGTGATAAGTCTCAAGCCCAGGGCCCTGGAGCACTTGGGGGTCTCCAGCTAGACTCTGCTGAGCCCCAGGAAGGAGCTCATATAGTCCCTCATCCTGCCTTCAAGATCGCTTGGGATTTCCCATCCATCTCTGCATTCCCTCCTCCAAGATCTCCAGGCTCCTGAGATGAGCCCAAAGTAGTGGAAGTCCCCAACCAGAGAGGCCACAAAACCCCAAATTTTATCCCCATTCACAAACTTTTTCCCTTTTCCTCTTCTTTTCTCCTTCCCATGTTCTGCCACAGCCGATGGAAGCAGCCAAGAGCCCAGCACTGCCCATCCCGACGTGTCCCRGCTCCACCCCTGCTCCTCCTGCAGGATGTGAGGGGTTTTGGGGGAAAGGGTGGGTGCTGGCTGTGAGAGGAGGAGAAGAAGAAATGGAGGAAGAAGGCTGAAGAAGGAGCGGGAGAAGGGATGGAGGTTAGAGGAGAAGGAAGGGAGAAGGAGGAGGAGGTGGAGGTAGGAAGAATGAAGAGCAGGAGGGAGAAGC